TTTGTTCCTAACATGCGCAGGATCTTACGTAAAAGGATTCCCAGAACACCAAGTCCCTGTACACACAGGTTTAAAAAAAGGTCATTCCTAAAGTGTGTGAGTGCCTCTCTAATGCCAGAACTGAGAGAGCATATTAAGCCAAATGGCATGATACGCACTGGCACCCAATAAAGTGTTTGCTTTGCAATGTGTCTACAAGATAATTTCCTTGGCCATGCCTGATGCTGCAGACCCAGTTCTCTATGTTACTTTTCACAACAGTCTCTTATCAAGAGAGAGATTGAATGCTGGATGGAATGTACATGTAGAATCTCTGTGTACTCTTACCCCTCATCATTTCACAAGAAAGTTTTTGAGATGATATATATATTTTTTGCATATAAACACCAACGAGAAGTATGCAGTCTGGTTTATATTTTACATTTCCTACTGGCAAAAAAACACTACAAAAAGATTAAATAAACCCGCAAACTATTTCACTCCCAATCAAGATGCAGTATTGCACTGATCCTGTTTTCTAGCAGTGAACTGATACTTAAGCATCCCTGAAACTCTAACCCTCAACTTAACAGCTAACCCATATCCTCAATCACTAATCATAAATTAATAATATGTGCATCCATAATATTCTAACAGCTAGCATAAACCATAAAGATGCCTGTCAGAGAATATATTAAATATATATACAGTACTGTGCAAAGTTTTAGGCAGGTGTGAAAAAATACTGTAAAGTAAGAATGCTTTCAGAAATAAAAGTGTTAATAATTGTTTTTTAAAAAACATATTTTATTGAAAAATTTTCAATGTTACAAGCAATGCTGTCTAGATTTTAAAGATAAGTCAAATTGCTGGTCAAAAAACAACTAACAAACCTACACACTAGTCACCCCCACAATGTTCGTACATAAATTGTGAATATCAATTCAGGTAGTGATATTCAAAGCCCCTAATCTATAGGAAAGTTGTGCGGTTAGGTACCATTCAGTATACTCAAAATTCGAGCTCAAAATATACTCATAATACGAGCTCAAAATATACTCATAATTCGAGCTCAAAATATACTCATTATTCTAGCAATATTGGCTACAGGAAACATCTTTGAAAAAATGTTCTGTCTTCCTATCCCCTTGAGGTTCAGTATCAAGCCTCTCTGTGAAATAAGATTTTCAACTCTCCCACTACATCCAAGACAGACGGAGAGGCAACAGTGTTCCATAATCTCATAATGCATAATGCTCTTTGCCCGCACAGTTGCTGGGGCTAGATCCTTGCTCAGAGGAGTTAGATACACTGAACAAATAGAGAAGAGGTTCCAGAGATGGAGTCTAAGAAAGGATGTCCTTTATGAAATATGATATCTCTTGCCAGAAAGCTTGTATAGCTGGGCATGTCCACAAACAATGGGCTAATGTAGGACGTATATGGCCACATTTTGGGCATCGGGAGATTAAGTGTTGTGGAGAAGAACTCTGTGACAGAAAGTAAGGCACATATGCTTGATGTAGTATTTTTAATTGGGTCTCCATCCAAGACTCATTTATGACCATTCTACTAATTGTATTGTAGCCCTGTAGTAGGTCATCCACAATGTCCTCATTAGGGAAGTCCCTCGCCCAAGCCTTCACAGTGGAAGTGTGCAAAGTTGGCACTTGTAGATGAGGATATATAGTAGATAGAATCAGGGCCGTAGATAATTTTTTTCCCTGGGGGGGGTTCAGCTTCCTCAAATTATAAGACTTTACCTAGCAGACACACCAAGGTTTGAAAAAAAAGCGACATCCGTGGCCACTTCAGCACCCCTACCACCCCCACACACACACATTATATGGGGCTTCTCGGTCAAGAGTGCGGTGGGACTATTTGCCTGTGACTATTGGCCAGTGGGTCCCCGTGTGCCTTCCACTTTTCTAGGTGAGAGGCTCCTCAGCCTTCCCCTAGCACAGCACTGTCAGTTCTTGCGGCGAGCAGCCATTCAAAATATGCCACCCAGAGTTGAGTGTCAGCTTGAGGTGGGATGTGATAGGACAATGGCTGCGAGGGAGCTCCATCCATACGTGCATTGCTTACAGCTCCCTCTCATGTCCTGTAGAGGTGGCTGGCCCGGTGTGATGTAACATTCTGGTTCCCGACACCTCTACAGGGTGTGCGAGGGAGCTGTACAAGCAATGCACATATGGATGGAGCTCAGTCACAGCACAGCAGCCCACACTGGATCCCAGGCTGAGGATCCACTCCAGTTCTGATAAGGTAGGGAGACTGGGTGGATCTTAAAAAAATAACTTTTTTTTTTGGTGGGGTCTCTGGTGGGCTGTGCAAAGTTTTAGGTGGGCTGTGCGGAGTCTCAGGTGGGCTGTGTGGAGTCTCTGGTGGCGTCTCTGCTGGGCTGTGCGAACTTTAATGTGGGCTGTGCGAACTTTAATGTGGGCTGTGCGGAGTCTCAGGTGGCCTGGTGGGGTCTCAGGTGGGCTGTGCAAAGTTTTAGCTGGGCTGTGCGAAGTCTCAGGTGGCCTGGTGGGGTCTCTGGTGGGCTGTGCAAAGTTTTAGGTGGGCTGTGCGAAGTCTCAGCTGGGCTGTGTGGTGTCTCAGGTAGGTTGTGTGGAGTCTCTGGTGGCCTGGTGGGGTCTCTGGTGGGTTGTGCGAAATTTTAGGTGGGCTGTGCGGAGTCTCGGGTGGGCTGTGCGGGGTTTCGTGTGGGCTGTGCGGGGTTTCGTGTGGGCTATGCGGAGTTTCGTGTGGGCTGTGCGGGGTCTCGGGTGGCCTGGTGGGGTCTCAAGTTGTGCTTTGCGATTTCAAATCGGTTTAAACTTACCTGTGTCTTCCCCGTGCGCTCCCGTACGAAAATCCGAACCTGCTCGGGCGGCGGCAAAGCATCCTGTGGCATGGGGAATGCGCAGTTCGGATTTTTGGCCGGGAGACGAGGAGAGACGCAAGGTAAGTCTATGGACGCGTGCACCCGCATGCAGACACCGTGGGACAGTAAGTATCAGCAAGCTAAGAGGAGTCAGTGTTATCTCCGCCCCTGGATAGAATATTCTTTTGTGGTCACCTGTACATCCATAAATGTGGGATTCAATTTTTTTTTCAGATCAGACGACAGCTGCTGCCATGTCTTCTTAATTTGTAGGAAATACAGAAAATGAGTGCTCAGTATATGATATGTAGAGCAGATATCGTAGAATGAGATAGGAGTAAAGACTTCTCCCGCAAACAACAGCTTACAAAGCTTGAGGGCCTGTTCACACGACGTCCGTTTTGTGTGCTGACCGGCTCCGTACGCTGCTGCACTCAAAATGCATCCCAATTTGTCCCTATGTGTTTTATGGGATACAGTTCTCACGTGCGCAGTCCGTTCAGCTTACGACAGAAAAAATACTGCATGTCACATTTTGTCCAGTCCGGAAACAGTCCGGAAACGCACGAACGCGCACGAAACGCAACAAAAACGGAACGGAAGCGCAACGCAATGCAGCTAAGGGGGAAAAAAAGAAAAAATTGTATTCTTGCTCCACTTATTATGATGTCATCAACGTTGACAAAAAATTAACTGTCAGCATCCGGACCGAAAACGCATCAAAAACGCATCAAAAACGCACTGCATCAGCAGCTCCACGTCTGCTGATCAGCACCTGATCAGGACCTGATCTCATGTGAACAGGCCCTTAAACCATTCCGATGCCATAGAGCAAATGCTACATAGTCCTTAATTTGTGGAAGCATTGAATTACATTAGAGAGGGCAAAATGAATATATGTGTGGTGATAATTGTAACTGTTTTTGAACCTCTCTCCAGGCAAGAACCATATCTCTAATCAACAAGTTGTGTTTCACTATTGATGGAAGCGAGGAAAGTTTGCTATGCAAGACAGCTTTTAAATCCCACGGGTGCACAAGGGAAGTTTCCATTGACGTATTAGAAAACCGGGAAGCGTCCAGCAATCGATCAAACGCATGTCTAGGTAAACAAGCTACATTGTACAGTAAAAGCGCACATTAGGAAAACTAGCTGCTCTTCGGAAGCCAACATTTTTTAAGAGAAATTCTGGAGTGTTTGGTTTTCTATACAAATTGAACCAAAGCATTGTATATCATTATGTTTCAAGAGTACTACAATTGTTTGTAATAGTTTATTTTTTTATTAGTGAACAAAACTGAAAGTAAATGAACAAAAGAGAAATCCAAATCAAATCAATATTTGGAGTGGCCACCCTTTGCCTTCAAAACACCATCAATTCTTCTTGGTACACTTGCAGTTTTTGATTGAATATTTAAAATTCTGACTATCAGTTCAGAGCATCTGCTGTCATTTTTCTGCACCCCAGTTCACTGGTAAACTGGTAAACAATTTCTTTAAACTTAGAGAGGTAAAAATGTTTGCAAAACTCTTTGCACCTCATAAAATTAACTTAGAGGGAATGTTTTTCAACAAAACTAGAATTACACTTATAAGCGGACCTTTCAGTAAAATGCAAGGTCCGCTTATTAGATCAGGGCCCTTCCTCCTATATAAATTTCTGCATGAGAGTAATGGAAAATATACCTGTAAGGAAATAAAGTTAGCTTTTATACTTACTGTACCTTACCCCTGTCCTCCGGACTGCAAGGTGTGAACGGTATCATCTTTCTAGTAAGATCCCTAGGAAACAATATGTACCCCAAATCTCATGAGAAGACACTTCAGCCAAGTGTAAACATTTATTTTTGTGAAGTTTGAGATCCTCACCGCTCCCGGAGTCTCTTCTGAGGAGTATGACCTCGTCCTCTATGATTTTTACAGAGAGAGGGGGCCCCCAATCTAAGAAGGACACCTTGCGTTTTACTGAAAGGTCCACTTTAATTAATACTTCTTTACAATTATTTAACTGTGTATTGCTTTGAAATATAAACACTTTAAAAAAAAAAAAACATTAAAGCTTGCTGTTGGACCAAGTTGTCTCTCATCTGGAAACATCAGTCTTTTCCTTTAGAAATATCTAAAGCTGAATTCAGATTTAAATTCTTACCTGACACCATGCAGATGAATTTAGCATCACTGCCCTCTGACACAGCCCTGGCTTTCAACGTTGTCTCAAAACATGGCTGTGTCTCTTCGGTCAGCTGAGATATAATATTGCAAAATGTGGTCCTAGCAAAAGGAGGTGACGTGTTAGGTAAGCAGCAATTTTTTTAATTTTTTTTTTTACAATTACTAACATTTATGCAAACAAAAATGCTAAAGGGCAAATACCACACAACAATATTTGTAAAAGCTACTAAAGACCAAATAAAGTGTTTCCCAAACAGTAAAATTCCAGCTGTGATTTTTTTTTTCCACTGCAAATTATAAAATGAATAATATTATCTAAATTGCTGCTCTCGGTAAAATCATAATAATAATAATATTCTGTTGATCCACTTTTTTCTCATGTGTCTCATGTAATATTAAGAGATTGTTCACAGGCCCATAAGCCCTTAACCCTCACCTGTCCCGAACTGAATTTAAAACAGCAAACAGCTGAATATACAGTTGAAATACATATATTGGATTTGTTTCACCTGTCAAATGTTTTTCAATTCAGCCCATACACTCAAGAGATTTACTCAGTCCTGTCAAGCAACACAGCCAGCCTTATTTATTAGTTTTTGTCACTCAGCTGTAGATCTTCAAATCATCTCTGAATTCATGCTGACACTGTCCTTCCTTCTGGAGAGTGGTTACTTTTGTTTCCTATGTTCCCTACGTATGTTGTAAAGTAGTCTCCGCTCCAACCTCACTCCCGTGATATACTACAATCTCAATACAAATTAGTGAGAAATTATATAGCAGGAGTGATTTTGGAGTGGTAGCTACTTTTACAACACATATGGGGAACAAAAGCAGCCACACTCCAGAAGGAAGGACAGTGTCAGAATAAATTCAGAGATGATTTAAGGATCTACAGCTGATACACAAATAAAATACATTTTGGTTAATAGTTAGGGTCCTTGAATGCATTTTTATGATTTACCTCCTAAGTTTAGTGTCACTTTAACCTCCCAGTTAAATGTATCTTAATCCTTGAAGTTAACAATTAATCAGACATAAACAATGAACACTCAACCCAGGGGCGTCCCAAGGCCAGGTGACACCCCGCGGTGTCGTCATCGCGTGTGGCGTCACCTCGCGCATGCGCGACCATCTGATTGATGCCTGACGGTGGCCATCTTGGTGATGGACACCGACAGAGAGAGGGGGGGACGTTCACCCGACGGGATGAGGGATGCCGCCGGGTCCCCTCCTCTCTCCTGACACTGTCATGCTCTTGGTCCATGACCGAGTGCCTGACTATTTAGAGTGGGTGACACCAAAATGACTGCCCCCCTTGTGACGCCACTGACTCAACATGTGCCTACCTGTGAGTAATGCTGCAGTTTATCTGTGTTCATGATATCAACTATCAATTAATAAATGCAGTTTGATTAAACACTGAGCCTTTATGCCATTAACAAGCTGCAGCAATTGTGAATTAGAATTTGGTTTAGGTTCTATTTCAATGTAACAAAAAATCTAATTACTGCACGTATGCAGTATTTGGTGCATGTTGGTGGTTTTTAATATGTATTTATCTTTAAGGAGAACCCTCAGCCATGAAAAAGTGAAAGCTGCTATAGCTGAAAAGGTATCCTTTTTCAAGCGCTGGCTATATTTTTCGCTGCTGCCACCTTTGACAGACCCGAATTGTCTCAATTTATGTCTCCTTTTATTTATACAACATGGTACCTAACCGCTCAAATGTCTCATGTGCTAGGACCCTTGGAAATCACGTAAGAAGTTGACAATGCACTTCATCTTAGACCTGATACATAGGGCGACCAGCATAGCCCTTTTGGCTCTAGTCGATACTCTGCTTTTAATCAGCATATTCATTGTGCATTGTTTGTTTTGTTGTTTATGTTTTGGTTATTTGTTCTTTTTACTGTTTTATGCTCATGCCTGAGCTGACTGTATTATTTTCCTTGATGGAAAGAATTCTAATAAAATGTATTTTTTTTAAAAAGGTATCCCAATCCTTGTGCTCTCTACTGTTAATAACAGGCAGCGCTGCATCTGGCTTTTGACAGGTAGTTAGGTTACACCGCAGGGGGCTTCCCCACTGCTTGTGTAACCTAACTATTGAGGCAAGAGCTGTCACAGCCTCTACTCTTTGTTAGAGGTGTGAGCTCTGTGGATGGCTTGGACCAATGGCAAAGCGCAATTGGCCAAGTTGTACAATCAAAAAAGTAAAAAAAAGACCACGGATGCCATCGATCTCGATGCCTCAGCAGTGACGAGCAAGTGAGGGACAAGGAGGCTCCGCCCTGTCTCCTGCCTTCCTCCTTCACACTAGCTTGAGGACCGGGTTGGGGGCGTGGCTTCAGCCAGCGGGGGCAGGGCGAACGTGCTGGGGGCGAGGCTGGGGAATGCCTCACCCGGGACCAGAGGACCGAACGTCACTGAAACAAAGCAACAGGTTCATTTAACTGCCAGTATTCCCACTTGCACATACCCGTGTTCTTTTCCCAACTTCTCAGCTTGACCAGTGAGACTGAAGAAAGGAAGCCCAGAGTGCTCACAGGTTATGGACCTTCTGTCCACCAAGTAATAGTGCTGGTCACATGCTCCCCCTATCCAGAAGTACTGGATATATCTGATTGCTCAGGAAAGGTGAGTACATGCAGTTGCAAAGGGAGGCAGTTACATTAACTTCTGTGGTTGTCTGGTGGGAATAGTTAAACATAATGTTTGAGGTTCACATCAGATCAGCCCACCTTTGTTTTTTCTTGTTTCTTTTTTTTAGGCAAAAAATAAAACCCCAAAACCCCCAAAAATATATCAGATGAAAATAAATCTTGCAAATCACTGCTAAACTTGTGCACACTTCAGCTTCCTTCAAAATGTATTTAAACCCTAACAATTAACTTCTCCTTATTTGGAATTGGAAGTGATTTGGTATACCCGTTGAAAAAAATACTTGGTGATCATAATGGTGAGCTAATAACTCTGTTTTCCCTGCTTGTGCTGACTTTTGTCAACTTCATTGTTCTCTAAGTACTACAGAACCACAACCCTCTATATGATGGATAATATGAGAGGGGAGGGGTTCTGTAGATCAATCTTGGTTTGTTTGTTTTTTGTCCTGATATAGAAGGGCAAGTAAGTGTTTTCATCTTAGAACATGATATGCCCTAACTGTTACTGGCAGACTAACCATGTGAAAATAAAGGAAAAAAGCCCCCCAAAAAATTAATTCAGCCACCACATCTAAGGACCAGTAAGCTGCAATAAATGACATTCTTGTTTTTTGGGTTAAGATACGCTTTAATTGTAAGAAGCCAGTCAGTTATGATGTGGTGTTCCCCAGGAGCCCTTAATGTCTACATTTGTTCTTCCTGCTGAGCAAACATCTAGCTTAAAGGAGAACTATGGGGTTAAGGCTTTTCCCCATAGTTCTCCTTAGGGTAACGGGAGGACACAAACTAGCGTCCTCCCGTCACCCTAGGCTCAGTATACCACGAGCTACAGCTCGGGGTATACTAAGACGCTACAGCTGAAGCGGATCCCGACAATTATGTCTGGATCCACCCTGCTGCGTGACTGACAGCTGGCTCTGCCTATCTAGAGAACTTTTGCTGCAAGTGTTCTGCAAGTCTACAAGTTGCCAGGAATGTGTGCGGCAAATAAACAAGAATTACAATTTAACCCTGACACAAGTTTGTGGCAAGTTATCCTCGGAATGATTTAGTATTGTAGTCAACAATCTAAACACCAGGTTCACATTACCTGACAGGTTTACTTTAACCTGGAGGCCTTTTTATTAAAAAAAAAAAAAAAACTGTATGAGGCCACACAATAGAGATGTAAAGACTTTATTGGGCTGATGTATATTCGTTCTGCCCAGCATATACAGTATCTCCCAGAAGTGAGTACACCCCTCACATTTTTGTAAATATTTTATGATATCATTTCATGTGACGACACAGAAGAAATGACACTTTGCTACAATGTAGTAGTGAGTGTACAGCTTGTATATCAGTGTACATTTGCTGCCCCCTCAAAATAACTCAACACACAGCCATTAATGTCTAAACCGCTGGCAACAAAAGTGAGTACACCCCTAAGTGAAAATGTCCAAATTTGGCCCAAAGTGTCAATATTTTGTGTGGCCACCATTATTTTCCAGCACTGCCTTAACCCTCTTGGGCATGCCAGTTCACCAGAGCTTCACAGGTTTCCACTGGAGTCCTCTTCCACTCCTCCATGACGACATCACGGAGCTGGTGGATGTTAGAGACCCTGCGCTCCACCACCTTCCATTTGAGGATGCCCCACAGATGCTCAATAGAGTTTAGGACTGGAGACATGCTTGGCCAGTCCATCACCTTTATCCTCAGCTTCTTTAGCAAAGCAGTGGTCGTCTTGGAGGTGTGTTTGGGGTTGTTATCATGTGGGAATACTGCCCTGCGGCCCAGTCTCTCGAAGGGAGGGGATCATGCTCTGCTTCAGTATGTCACAGTACATGTTGGCATTCATGGTTCCCTCAATGAACTGTAGCACCCCAGTGCCAGCAGCACTCATGCTGCCCCAGACCATGACACTCCCACCTCCATGCTTGACTGTAGGCAAGACACACTTGTCTGTGTACTCCTCATCTGGTTGCCATCACACACGCTTGACACCATCTGAACCAAATACGTTTATCAGGACATTGTTCCAGTAATCAATGTCCTTAGTCTGCTTGTCTTCAGTAAACTGTTTGCAGGCTTTCTTGTGCATCATCTTTAGAAGAGGCTTCCTCTTGGGACAACAGCCATGCAGACCAATTTGATGCAGTGTGGGGCGTATGGTCTGAGCGCTGACAGGCTGACCCCCCACCCCTTCAACCTCTGCAGCAATGCTGGCAGCACTCATACGTCTATTTCCCAAAGACAACCTCTGGATATGACGCTGAGCATGTGCTCGCAACTTCTTTAGTCGACCATGGCGAGCCCTGTTCTGAGTGGAACCTGTCCTGTTAAACCGCTGTATGGTCTTGGCCACCATGCTGCAGCTCAGTTTCAGAGTCTTGGCAATCTTCTTATAGCCTAGGCCATCTTTATGTAGAGCAACAATTCTTTTTTTCTGATCCTCAGAAAGTTCTTTGCCATGAGGTGTCATGTTGAACTTCCAGTGACAAGTATGAGAGAGTGAGAGCGATAACACCAAATTTAACACACCTGCTCCCTATTCACACCTGAGACCTTGTAACACTAATGAGTCACATGACACCGGGGAGGGGAAAATGGCTAATTGGGACCAATGATATACAAGCTGTACACTCACTACTTTACATTGTAGCAAAGTGTCATTTCTTCTGTGTCGTCACATGAAATGATATAATAAAATATTTACAAAAATGTGAGGGGTGTACTCACTTCTGTGAGATACTGTAGCTGGGCGAATGCCATTCCGACAATATTTCTGCCAATAGATGGAGCCAAGGAGCATACAAAATGCTCCTTTGCTCCATCTAGTAGCAGAAATGCCATGCAACGGCATTCACCCAGCTGTATGCTGGGTGGAACATTTACACTTCAGCCCCTATAAGTATTCTGTATCTAGGTTGCATCTCTAATTAAAATAAAAGGAGAGTCAGCTGACACATGCTATAAAGATGAAATGAAATATTTGTATTTAAATACAAATTGCAAACCTCATTGTTCAATGCAAGACAATTAGGTAAATTCACTAATAACAAAACAAACATTTATGCACAAATAAGAATGGAGAGCAGAAGCATTACCTGCCAGACGTATAATGAGCGTAGCGACTGACACTGGATCGGCTGCGGCAAGCAGAAAAGTATTAAGTCAAGGGGACATTTAAGCAGGGAAGCATTAGTCGATGGAGGCAATATCATTATACATCAATTAAACATTTACTGAATTTCAACTGCATAAAATAAATACAGAATTACAGAACCACACAACCACACAACCACAACATAAATTACAACATTTTCATAGACTGGCTTGTTAGAAGGATCATGTAATAGCATGCATGGATGAATGTAGAAGCGTGTGGACAGAAGCTATATATAAAAAATATTTGAGCTGGTAATCAATAAAAATTATTTGAATTGGTAAACTTGATATTTAGAAAATGAATTCACTTTCTTGGACCATCATCCAATTTTATAACAGTCAATGCATGAAAGGATAACTGAATGATTCTGGAGGAGAAATATCGTCAATAGATCTCAGCACTGTCCCTTGTCAAGTGCACAATATATCTTGCTGGCCATATGCTAAGCAAAATGGTCATCCAACCCATGATGTGTTCTCAGTATATTCCTATGTAAAAACAAAGAGGGATCAGGATCTATAACTACAGGATGATACAGCTGCAGTAAGGGACAGAGTTAGGGTAAAATAAATATTACTTCCTGGCTTCCTGAGAATTTCAAAAAGCCTAAAGGTGAATGAAACTGGGATTGTCACCCTAAATGGATTTCTCTTTTACATTGGCTTAATTTTTATTACTAATTGTTGTACTTAATCTGCAGCTTGATTTTTTTTTTTGCACGCTAGACAGGATTAATATGGAACAGCATCTGGAATACCCTGTTTTTTCATCTGTTTTAATACCCTCTCTGCTTCATGTGAGTATGGAGAAGGCTGAGGGAGGTGTTGACTTGAACTAGAGCAGACTCACACAAGAAGAGGCATCAAAGAAAACCTATCATGAGAGAAATATGTAGGGCTGCCATTGGTAAACTCTCCTTTTGAAAATACTGGTGGAGGGGTTTAAAGGGAAAAATTTAGATGTGTTGGAATGGCCCAGTCAAAGCCCAGACCTCAGTCCAATTGAGAATGTGTGGCATGACTTAGACATGATTTAGGATTGCTGTACAACCACACAACCCATCTAACGTGGAGGAGATGGAGCAGGTTTGCCTTGAAGAATAAGCAAAATACCACTGGCTAGGTGTTCTACGCTAATAGAGACATAGACTAGGAAACTTGCAGCTGTAGTTGCAGCAAATGGTGGCTCTACAAAGTTTTGACTTTGAGTGAATTTGAGTGAATATTTCTGGGGGGGTTTTTGGTCTAAATTATGGTTTGTGTCACAATAGAAGTTATTTGTACCTACAAAGTAGCAAGCACATGGTAGAAAACCCCCCAAAAACACATTTTAATTTCAGGGAGTAAATACTTTTGCAAGGCTCTGTACAGAGACCAGTAAATTTTAATTTCTACCCATTTTTCATTTTCTGCAATCTTGTTCCAGGTCTGTGAATTTTAGAAGCCAATCACGGCTAGTGAACCAACATTTTCAGAAAGAGAAATAGCAGCCTATGTTTATCTTTCATGACAGGTGTGCTTAAAGGGTTTCTCTAGAACTTGGACTTTACTCGCAGTGTAACCCAGTCCAGTCATTTGGCCCTGTTGCAGGCTTGTTCTTTTTCCCTGTTAGCTGCCAATCCTGACAGAACATTTGCTATTTCTAAATCTTTCAACTCAAGTAACCAAATACACAGTTAAACTTGCCATAAGCATGTGTTAGATAGCTTATATATTATACATGCAAAATACTGTAGTATGAGATAAGTACCTCATTAGAATGCATAGGCACTTCCCATCAGTGTAGCATGCATAAACCTCATTCAGTGACAATGATGCTATTTATGTAAATTTCTGAAAATGCTGTTGGCTCAGGCATCTGCCAACAAATAGTTCTTGGACCAGGACCAGGAGATCATGGATTTAGCTATCTGCAGTTCTTGCCTTGAACTCATTTGTTCCATGTATGAAACATTAAATCCTTAAGGTGTTCTATAGGAACTCTATATCGTGTTTCTACATTAAATTTGCCATGGAAACCCAAAGTTTGTTATGAGAAGTCCCAACTTTCCCTCTTCATTTCTTTTTAAGAGGTGCTGAAACACGGAAAAGTGACCAGCAACCACATAATACCAGGAATAGGGTCAGGAATATTGGTAGGAAGATCTCACTGTTGCATGCCATGACCACTCATGCACATTGTATCAGGCATTTGATCAAAAAATTTGCTTTAAAGCTGCAATTTACTATTTGGAAAAAAAAAGCAATTCAGCAGTTCAGGTTTTATTGGTGCCTGTGTCTTTGCTGGACAGATTTACCCTCTCTGATTGTGCTGGTGACCCAGAAGTGATGGGAAAAAGCTGAAAGGAGTCAAAAACTAAAAAGGAAAAATAAAGTTTTGGCTTTACATACACTTTGTAAATGTATGCATTTCTGAAACACTGGCTGTAAGAATTGGCAAATATACCAATTGTCAGCTGCCAAAATTTTTTAAACACAAATATAGTGCAACAAGTTTAAGTGGAAATTAAGTCACAAAGCATTGATTTTTTCCATGTTATAAGGAACATTTAGAAATGTTAAATATGCCTAAACAATACCCTGAAAATGTACCTTCTGTCTGTAATTCCTCCTGAAAAATAGCAAGGCACCTCCTGGTATGTCAGTGTGCCCACAGTCTCATACAGTAGTTGTATAGCTGTAGTGTGAGACCTTATGGCATTGCTGCCTCTGACTGCTAGTCTCATGAGATTTGGTGATGGTTTCCTTTTGATGAAAAATTTGAGCAACTGTGCTTTTTTTGCAATGTTCATAGTTGAACTTTTGACAAACATTTAGAGTTCCACTTTAATCAATGGATTGTAACATAATACATTTTCACTAATCTTACTAGGGGATAGTTCTTTATATGAAAACTTTCCACCACTTACAGAACATACCGACAACCCATCTCAGATGTACAGAGTTATTCTGCATCCTGTAGACTAGAACCAGCTGTTCCCAGGTGCTAGTCAATGGATACTTGTAGACTGTCTATCAATACACTCAACACATAAACCCCCACCCCCAGCCCACATATAAATATAGCGACTGGGAACTGGCAGCACCTAAGTGATGTGTAACATATAAAATATGTAAGTAACACATGATAATTACCTAATAGTTAATCAGGTTTATGCCTGTTATGACAGATAGTTGGTTTGTTGTGTGTAAAAATGCAAACAGTGCCTGTTTCAGCTGGGAATTGGTTCCTGAAGGGGTGTGAAACTCATTAGACACAGGTTGGGGTTGCCCACAAAAGAGAATATTCTCTTCACAGTCATTCACCCTATGTGCTGCAAAAGCAGCTTGAAACCTAACACGTGGGAAGTGCGTGTTCAGGCCTGTCTAGCATACACCGACAGGTTGCCAAGCCAGACTGACATCTGAGTGTTGGACATTGTGAACGGAAAGAGAGAGTCCCTGTATGAACAGACCAATGTGCCTGAGATAAAAAGGTAGCATTCTATATATAAGCAGACAAGAGGTCCAGTCTGGTGACTGAAGAAACCAGTTAAGCAGAATGGCTGAAACTGAGGCAGTTCTGTAGCTGTGCGATAAAGTAGCCAAAAGGCTGAAAGACAGTTGTGTTGATGATTGTTGTGCTAAACAACCCCTGCATAGACAGAACACTGTCTATGCAGGGGTTGGATGGATGTTTCATGAAAAAAGTAATCAAAAAGCCCCAAAACGCATTTTGCTGAGTAGACTGAGTCTTTGGAAGACTCTCCATTTGAAGCTCAATCTCATACTGTGGAAATGTAATTTAAATGTTGGACTGTAATGACATGAGACAGGTTAGTGTTGTCTTTGAAGTTAGTTAACTATATCAATTTATTTTTGCATATTTGTAACCAACCGAGCATATTTAAGTTTATTTTAAGTGTACAACCAAAGTTATTAAAACTTTCAGGCATGGCTGCCCATGGTTAGAATTGTTTTTGTTGCTATGCCTTAAAATCTTTCTTAAAAAAAAAAAGAAAATAGCCAGGTCAGATGAATAGCAGATTGTCTGGTTTGGTTTCACATATATTGAGCAAATTATGGATATGGAAGTGTTGAAGAGTGCTTTACTGTGTAAGAAAATGCCTGAAAACCAACCACGGACTATTGTACCTTTGACCAGTAATAATGTCACATTCATAATCAACTAGGAGTGACCAAAATGCTAAAATGTTTGTATATCCACTAGGCATATTATTCTTGTATATCCATTAGACATATTATTCTTGTATATCCACTGAGCATATTATTCTTGTATATTCACTAGACATATTATTCTTGTATATCCTCTAGGCATATTATTCTTGTATATCCTCTAGGCATATTATTCTTGTATATCCACTAGGCATATTATTCTTGTATATCCACCAGGCATATTATTCTTGTGTATCCACTAGGCATATTATTTTTGTGTATCCACTAGGCATATTATTCCTGTAGTCATAAATATGTTTACAATTATACAAGGTAATGTACTAAAAATAATCATGCAACAAATCAAAAAAATATTATTCCATGGTCAAGCTCCGGTATAAGATAAGCAGGATATACATGCTAAAATTATTCATGCATGGAACTGGAAATTGCAAAGTAGCGTGCAGGAGTTTATTCTGTGTTTTCTATTAATAGCTTTCTTATAGCATTTCAGTTTTCAGTTTGACTACTCCAGCTACTAAGCTCTGTAGGGTTGCAGTGGCAGAAATATAGTTTTCAACTCTTACATAGGTCTCACCTGTTCTCAGGTCTCACATTCAGCAGATAGCTTCTACTGTCTGCTCTTGGATTATACACTGAGCCATTACTGTCTTCACTGTCACTTGTGCTACCATTACTACTTCCATGGGAGTCATAGTACCTCCCATTTCCAGAGGGCGTGCGAGTCATAGGTCTCCGTGTGCCCATCATGAATGCTTTCTGTCTTGTGCCACTTCGATCAGCCGCCTGCGACTTCCACAAAAGTGCTGCAAGACTTGCTGTGGAGACTGGAACCTGGGTGTAAAAAGATATGCAACTGATGTGAGACATGTGTAATGTGGAAACAAAAGGCATGGTAGAGGGATGTAGATTAATTCAACAATACATGTATCATACATTGCAGTAAGGGGTTAATAACCAGTTAAATCCACTTTGCTTTTACTTTGTTATTATGGAGTAAGGGTGGTTCTTTATTGGGTCCATATAACTAGGAAAGAGAAAAAGTGGCAGTTTTTGCCATAATTTGGCAACATTTCTTCAAAATTCATCACAGTCAACCGGGACAGCTAAATTAAGATTGTTTTTGACCTGGGGGTTACTGAAGATCCTTTAAATTATCCTGAATCTTTCTTGTAACATGACCTCAGATATTGAGGAACACAGGAACCACAACCTTAGCAACAAAAGTATGTGAACATAATCTCAGTACTGACATGCTTTGTTGATACACAAAACAACAGTACCAATAGCACTAATTTAGGGTTATGATTAGCGTTAGGGTTAGCATAAGCTTGTTTATCAACAAAGCTATTGTTAACCACGTCAGTGTTGGCATGGTCATCAGATGACTCTGTTAGAAAAAATAGTCTATACAGCCTGCATGGAAACATTTTATGCTGATTTCAACAAAAATTTGGCAAATGTGAATTTGATAATTATGCTGCAAAATCAATTTTGGTCAAATCACTCCGCTCATCCATAAATATGAATTTCAACTATGAATCTTTATTGACTGTCTGAGTTATCTTAGCCAACAAACGTACTTGTCCCTTTTTAAAAGCAAATGCATTCTCTGTTATTTTGGCACAACATAGTTCCATTCTACAGTTAAATAACACCATTAAACATTACTGTAAATACTGTTATAATCGGCAGTCTTTTGCAGGGCTGGGTACTTAGCTCCAATGAGTAATTGTAGTAATATTTTGTGCCTTACCACCAGCTATACATTTTTTAGTAGCCTTTTTTGCTAGCCATAAGCATTAGCCATAGTTTCCAAATGTCCCTTTTTGTGCAGGACAATATCCCTAATGTGCAATTTTGTGGAATGCACCACCAGGCAGGAAATTGCCACTGCATTTAGTTCTGTTTCAGGAAAATGTTCTCCTATTTTTGGGGGGAATATTGGCAACTATACATTGACATGGATTGTATCATCAAAAAAAGATGCACTTTATGAAGACAAAATTAAGGTAGATAAAAATATAAAGAAACAGAGCAAAAAGTAATGTTAATGTTACCAATAAAAGTCTATGATGGCCATGGTTGCTTCATGTACCACTGGAGAACTATATGTGCACAAATCCTGATTGTTTCAAATTACCCGATAAATCTGGTGACAAACGAGTCAGGTTACAGGTTACCATCCAATTCCATTAGCATGCTCACAAGGCTATAATTAGATCATACATAACAAGGCGTATCTGTTGGCTTGAAGTTCTGCAGAATCCTACAGATAAAAGCTACATGGAAACACACGAATGAAGCATGCCAAGAACAGGCTTTGTGTCCGGCTTTTTGGAATTAACTTTATGGATATGTTTACAAATGAAAATAGTTAAACACAAACATATGAAACATAGACTCCTAGTTCTTGAATCTTAAAGCACAGCATTCTGAACAATCCTAAACTGCAGGAGTAAGCTGTACAGGAAATACATTTATCTCACCTTATATAAGGGGGTTTATATAAAAGTGGCTTGTCAATGAGCAAAGTAAAAATTTACTGAGCTTAGTAGGGCACCGGGTGACAGCATTGGAGAGGGTGACACCAAAATGACTGTTAGTCATTAGTCATTTTGGTGTCACCCCCTCTGAAAAGTCGGGCAATCGGTCATGCGTGGTCATACATGATGACGTCCCACTACACGTCCTGTCTAAATTGACCTTGAATGTATGCATGTGAGATAGGGACCTTAGATTGTAAGCTCCTGGACTCATGTGAATATGCACTGTAAAGCGCTGCATAAATTGTCAGCACTAAATAAATACCAAAAATAAATAAATAAGGTGCAGCAATGTTTATTTTGAATACTCAGTCAGGGAAAAAAGTGAATTTGGCTTCAACATTGTATGATTGACTAAGCTACATCATATTCACTAAGCTCAGTGAACGTTCTCTATTGCTTTCTTGAATCAACTCCTCTATATTTAAAGCAGTTATATTTTCCTAATAATACCTTTCTATTTACCTTATTTGTAATTAGTGATGAGCCGAACACCCCCGTGTTCGGTTCTAACTCGAACTTTCGAACATGGAAAAAGTTCTAACTCGAACTTAGAACTCAATGCAAGTCTATGGGGGTAGAACTCAGAAAATTAAAGGTCCCCATTTTGAAGCCTTATATGCAATTTATTGGCCATAAAAAGTGTATGGGGATCCGGGTAGTGCCCTGAATGACAGGAATCAATGAAATTTAAAGCAAAAAAACCCCCAAAAAATATTTTTTAAAGGAACAGTGATTTTTACATGATTTACAGGGTAAGAGTAAAAATGAAAAATTTTTCGGACGGCGGAGTGCATTGTGGGATGTGCCGCGGTCGAACAGACCGCGGACATCCCATAATGTTCGGTGTTCGGCGAACGCTCGAACATGCTATGTTCGAGTCGAACATAGGTTCGACTCGAACGCGAAGCTCATCCCTATTTGTAATATATACTGCATAAGTAACCCTGTTTTGGGGCTTATGTGAGATGACCCTGTCTGGATAGTTTACATTGACTTTCTGTAGCACCTGGACCTCTTACAGGCTGTGTGCCTGTGGAAGTAGGCTGTGTACCTAGAGCAGTGCTCCCCAACCTTTTTATCGCCGCGGACCGGTCAACGTTTGATAATTTTACCGTGGCCCACTGAGGGGGGGACGTTGATTGTTAATATTTTACATTGTTTTGATTTAATCATTTTAATTTAATTGTATTTAAAAATGCCTTCAAAATAAAATACAGTTACACCAAAAAATGAAAGCGTTGGAATTCTTCACCTATTCCACCACCGAAAAACTGGGCGAGATTACGTTAAAATGTGTGACCACGTCACTGGTCACACATTCTAACGTAGTCTCAAACTTTGATAGATCACATGCCTACCTGTAATCATTTAATCAGAGAAATAGATTATAATAGGGAACATTACAGTGTAATATTCCCCATTATAATCCAC